ACTTAACCTGGCTCAGTTTCCTTCCTTGTGATAGACAAGATGCTGACTCTGCCTCCAGGAAAGTGCCAGATGATGAAGGTAGACCTTTGGGCCAGACTGATGCCTCACAGAAGCACGGGAAATTTGTCCTCCTGGCCTAGAGAAGAAAAGCTAGGGTGGGGTATACGTTGTAGGAACTGAGGGAATATTTACAATTTCAGGACCAATGAGAAGTCAATTCCCAAGGCTCCTTGTTAGACAAATTGTCCAATTTCACCTCTATTCCCCGAATAGTTCAGTTTCCTATGGGGGCTGGGACGTGGCAGTAAGACGCTTGTATGGACCTTGTTAGGTCTTTTGGAGGCAACATGGCAACTTAGGGATCCGTTGCATGTTTCCCAACTTTCTCCGCCGCCCTCTCTCCTCTGGGAACAAAACTCTCTCTTGTCTCCTAAACTCTGTCTTTCCAAGGCCCGGGGCTTCTCCTATTGGAAGACCCCATTCTTATTTGAAGCCAGAATTCCTTAGCACTTAAATAACCAAGAAACAGTCTAGATATCTCCCTACATTCAGCCAGTGATGTGTCGCCAAGAAACAAGGCTCATTCCACTGAACCTACGTGGCAACTTCCTGCAAATGGCGCCATGGCTTCCTTGCGTTTCTATAAGGAGATGAGCTAGACTCTACCCAGAAGGGCAAGCCCAGAGAGAGTGGTTGCTGACCATGTCTGCTACCAGATTCTCACGAGGGTTCTTGGTACCATGGTGCCACCATTACGAGTCCCTACCTTTGCGTTTTTAGGGATTCGGTTGTCTGAGGTCATGCCCAGATTACTGGGTTATGTGTCTGCTCAATAAACACCCATGGATCTGACTGATACATTAAGGGCCCGTTTTTAAAAGCCTTTGGTTATGTAACTACCCCCAAATATAGATACAAGTAAAGAGCATATAAGTTCTAGGTTGAGCCATGTAATATTGCCAGTATTCTATCATTGTTGGCCAACAAAATTGGCTATTTTTTCCCACATGCCTCTGTTTAATATATCGAAAGCCCATGTACCCCACCCCTCAGCTTCAACAATTATCTAATCAAGGTCTTGTTTCATCAGTATTCTGCCTACTTTAACTTCTTCCCCAGGGTCGTTCCAGAGCAAATTCCACATACCTGCTTGCTTCCTTCCTTCCTTCCTTCCTTCCTTCCTTCCTTCCTTCCTTCCTTCCTTCCTTCCTTCCTCCCCCTCCCCCTCCCCCCCTCCCCGCTTTCCCTTCTTTCCCCCTTCCCCCCTTCCCTCTCCTTCCTCCTCCCTCTCCTTCTCCTCCTTCTTCTTCTTCTTCTTCTTCTTCTTCCTCTTCTTCTTTCCTAAAGACAGTGTCTTGCTTTGTCACCCAGGCTGGAGTGCAGTGGCCCAATCCTAGTTCACTACAACCTCAAACTCTTGGGCTCAAGTGATCCTCCTGCTTCATCCTCCCAAGTAGCTGTGACTACAGGCACGCGCCACCATGCCCGGCTGATTTTTCTATTTTAAGTAGAGACAAGGTCTCACTCTTGCTCAGGCTGGTCTTGAACTCCTGGCCTCAAGATATCCTCCCACGTTGGCCTCCAAGAGCACTAGGATTACAGGCATGAGCCACTGAGCCCAGCTTCAGTTTTGTTTTTTTTATTTTTTAATCTTTATGTTTCTCTTCTTTTTTGTTTATCCCCCTTGAAAGTTATTTGTTGAAGGAATGGCCTAGATTTGCCTGGTTGCTTTTGTTTGCCATCGTTTGACGCTTGCCTCTTTTAATTGCAATTGCACAATTGATGTTTAGATCTAGATACTGGATTAGCTTCAGGATTGAGCTTTTTTTTTTTTTTTTTTTTTGAGACAGAGTCTCGCTTTGTTGCCCAGGCTAGAATGAGTGCTGTGGCGTCAGCCTAGCTCACAGCAACCTCAAACTCCTGGGCTCAAGCAATCCTCCTGCCTCAGCCTCCCGAGTAGCTGGGACTACAGGCATGCGCCACCATGCCCGGCTAATTTTTTTTTCTATATATATTAGTTGGCCAATTAATTTCTTTCTATTTATAGTAGAGACGGGGTCTCGCTCTTGCTTAGGCTTGTTTCGAACTCCTGACCTTGAGCAATCCGCCCGTCTCGGCCTCCCAGAGAGCTAGGATTACAGGCGTGAGCCACCGCGCCCAGCCCAGGATTGAGTTTTGAGGGGAAAGGATACCCCGTAGACTGTGTTGTGGACCTTCCTCAATAACTGGCGTTTTCTGTTGTCCCTTTTCTCATGACATTACCGGCCATTGAGGATCACGGCCTTGGTTCATAATTTCATGATGGATTGCAAAATGAGGATATCCTAGGAGACTTTCATGTATTAGCTGGAATATTTCTACAAAAAGAAACTTATGATTATCCTGAGGGACTGTTTTTATAGGAAAGTTAGCGAGAATGCTTGAATCCTTAAATTCTTTTATTTATTGGCTTTCAAAATAATGACGTGGTTTCCTAGCACCAACCCCCCAACCCAAGGTGATCAGTGAGTGGGTTTCCTTTCTCTTTGTTTAAACCTTGATTATAAATACCTGAATTTTTTTTAACATTTTTTACTGTTTCTCCATGACAGTTATTATTCCTGTTGATGTTAATATTGTGTCATAGGTTGTCAGTAGGAGTCTTCCAAGTTGACCCCTGAATCCTTTTGATGTACCATCGGCAGGCTTTGTTGGTGACATCTGCCACTACAAGGTATCTATCCTGGGCTCATCTAGAATATTTTCTGCCTCAGACCAGGCAGTATCCATTTCTCCAAGAGCTCTAATTCCTAGAAAAATGATACGTCAAATCACAAAATTTGGGTCCCAATTGTATTCTGTGCTTTTTGGTTTGGCTGTTATTTCTAGGTGAGGTCTCTCTCTTCCTACAAGGCCACTAATCTCATCTTGGGGGAGGGGGTCCCATCACTCATGAATTTATCTAAATGTAATTATCTCCTCAAAGCTCTATCTCCAAATACCATCACATTGGAGATTAGGGCTTCAACATACGAATTTTGGGGGCGACAAAAACATTCAGTCTATAACATTGTCCAAGGTTACATGTAGTTTTTATTTTAATGGATACTGCCAAACTGTTTCCCAAAACAGCTATAAAAATTCTTACCAGTAATATTTTATTATTTTTTTTATTTTATTTTATTTTTTTATTTTTTATTTATTTATTTTTTTTGAGACAGAGTCTCACTTTGTTGCCCAGGCTAGAGTGAGTGCCGTGGCGTCAGCCTGGCTCACAGCAACCTCAAACTCCGGGGGGGCTCAGCGATCCTACTGCCTCAGCCTCCCGAGTAGCTGGGACTACAGGCATGTGCCACCATGCCTGGCTAATTTTTTGTATATATATTTTTAGTTGGTCAATTAATTTATTTCTATTTTTGGTAGAGACGGGGTCTCGCTCAGGCTGGTTTCGAACTCCTAACCTTGAGCAATCCGCCCGCCTCGGCCTCCCAAAGTGCTAGGATTACAGGCGTGAGCCACCACGCCCGGCCCAGTAGTATTTTAGAGTTACATTTTTCCAGCAGTGAGCATTAAGAGTCTAACTTCTGGCTATCTGACAGAATTAGAATAGAATCTCCAAAGATAATCTCTATTGTTTTAATTTGCATTTGCTGATTACTGGGGTAGACTATCTTTTCATGTTTATTGCCATTTGCATTTTCTCCTGTGTGAACAATCTATTGTCTTTTGTCTATTTTTCTAGAGGGTGGTGTGAGTTGAATGGTGGCCCCCTAAAAACGTATGTCCACATCCTAACCTCTGGAAGCTGTGAATTTCACTTTATTTGGAAAAAAAAGGCCATTAAAGATGTGGAAAGGCGCAAAGATGTGGAAACAACCCAAGTGCCCATCAATACATGAGTGGATTAATAAAATGTGGTATATGGGTATCATGGAGCTCTACTCAGCCACAAAAACCATGGTGAATTAATACCTCTTGTGTTATCCTGGATGGAGCTGGACCCCATTCTTCTAAGTGATGTATTACAAGAATAGAAAAACACACACCACATGTACTCACCATCAAATTGGTACTAAATGATCAACCGTTAGGTGCATATGAGGAAGTAACATTCATCAGGTGTTGAATAGGTGTCAGGGGACAGGAGGAGACAGGTAAATTCATAACTAACAGGTGTAGGCTATGCTCTCGAAGGATGGACACACTTGTAGCTGTGAATCAGGTGGTTCAAAGACAATTTATGTAACCAAAGCCTTTGTACCCCCATAATATTCTGATAATATACATAATAAAAAATTATACATAATTTAAAAAATGTAATTAAGTTAAGAACCTTGAGACAAGGTCATCCTGAATCAACTGGGTGACACGTGTCCTTAGAATACACAGAGAATGGGAAAGGCCGTGTAAAACTGGGTGCTGAAATTTGAGTTTTTCTTTTTTTTTTTTTTTTGAGACAGAGTCTCACTCACTCTGTCGCCTCGGCTAGAGTGCGGTGGCATCAGCCTAGCTCACAGCAACCTCAAACTCCTGGGCTCAAGCGATCCTCCTGCCTCAGCCTCCCGAGTAGCTGGGACTACAGGCATGTGCCACCACATACGGCTAATTTTTTCTATATATTTTTAGTTGGCCAATTAATTTCTTTCTATTTTTAGTAGAGACTAGGTGTCGCTCTTGCTCAAGCTGGTCTCGAACTCCTGACCTTGAGCAATCTGCCTACCTTGGCCTCCCAGAGTGCTAGGATTATAGGCGTGAGCCATCATGCCCGGCTGTAAGCATCTTGACCAAAAAAAAAAAAAAAAAAAATCAAGCTCAGAGAGGTCACATAAATTGTCAAAAACCCCACTGCTAGAGAGAACCACAGTCCATTTTGAAGCCTAAGTTGAACCATCCTATGTCCTGATGGCGTCTCACCATCGAGAACAATAACTTGGTGACAGAGGAGTACGCCATTTGGAGTCTTCGAGCATCTCTGTACGTTCTCTCCTTCTGGAAGCCAAAGCTCAAAGCAGACCACACAGTCACCAAAGAGCTGTTCTTCCGACGAGTTTCCTCAGGGCTCCCTTCATGTCCCTGTTCCTCAGGCTATAGATAAAGGGGTTGATCATTGGCGGGACCACCGTGTACATCACGGAGGCTGCTGCCACCCCGGTGGACGCGGCAGTCACGGCAGAGCTGATGTACACCCCAAACGCGGTCCCGTAGAACAACAAAACAACCGAGAGGTGGGAGCCACAGGTGGAGAACGCTTTGAACTTCCCCCCGGGGGATGGCATCCTCAGGATGGAGGAGACAATCTGGGCATAAGAGAAAATAATGCCGAGGAGAGGAACGCCACCCAACACGCTAGTCACTGCGTACACCAGGACGCTGTGGACCAAGGTGTCGGAGCAGGCGACCTTGAGGACTTGCGCGAGTTCGCAGAAGAAGTGGGAGATTTCCAGGTCCCCGCAGAAGGACAGCTGCAAGACCATCAGGCTGTGGAGGAGGGCGTCCCCAACGCTGATGACCAGAGAGCTCAACACCAGCAACCCGCACAGCCGGGGGTCCATGACGCGCGTGTACCTCAGCGGATGGCAGATGGCCACGTAGCGGTCATAGGCCATCGCCGCCAGGAGAAAGTTCTCCAATCCCGCGAAAGCCAGCACCAGGCAGACCTGGGCGAGGCAGCCCGCGTAACTGATGGCTTTGCTCCGCCGCCGGATGTTCACCAGCATCTTGGGGACAGTGGTGGTGCTGAAGCAGATGTCTACAAAGGACAGGTTGGAGAGGAAGAAGTACATGGGGGTGTGCAGGCGGGCGTCAGAGACCACGGCCAGGACGATGAGCAGGTTCCCGAGCACCGTGACCAGGTACACGCACAGGAACAGCCCGAAGAGGACGGGCTGCAGCTCTGGGTCACCCGAGAGCCCCAGGAGGAGGAAATCTGGGACACCTGTTTGGTTTTCTGCTTCCATGTTGTTGAGGAATCTGATGGGAGTAAATACAGGTGACGGAGCAGATAACAGATGCACAAAGACCCCTTACTTTAGAGAACTTTCCTTCTCTATATCGGGAAGTCGGTGATATTAACCATCCCTCTGCCCTCTGTCCCTCTCTGTTCCTTCCCCAACCGCTTTTCTTTCTGTCTACTTTCACACACTACTACTCCATTACCCACATTTTATCTACCGAATGTCTACTCTTTTCCCACATCGGTATCAACTAATAGGGATGAAATAGGAACCAGTATATGGCTTTTTCCTTGAGAATTCTCCAAAGCCTCAAACAGGCAGGAAAACCAAATGACGAGCCCACGTGTGCACAGAGGGAAGTAAAACTCAACGCAAAGCAAGCAGAAGGCAAAGGGGAGGGTGGGATGGGTGAAAACCTACCAAACGGGCACAGTGAACACTATCTGGGTGCTGGGCACACGTATGAGCATGACTCGAGCATTATAAAAGCGATCTATGTAACCGGAAAGAATTGCACCCCCATAATCCTTTGAAATTAAAAACAAAAAAGGAAAAAAATCTAAATCAGCATTAACAGCATCAATCAAGATTTCAAGCCAGACACACATGTCTGAGTTTAACTCCGGCTCCAGTACTTACTTTGTAAATAAGAAAATGTGTGTGTGTGTTTTGTTTTTTTTCAACTCTGCGAGAAGCCTCAATCTCCTCATTTGTAGAATGGGAAGGCATCGTAAAACCTTCTGGGACTGTTACGAGGGTGGGAAGACAAAATCGTTAAGCACAGTGCTTGCTATGTGAGGGACTCTTAACATATTCTATTGTGACTTGGTTCTTGCCATGGAGGTGAATGAACTACCTGTCGTGGTTCATGATATTATAGCAGGGAAGTGACGGCCTTAAAGAAGGGCAAGATGTAGAAAAGAAAAGAACATCCTTAGTTCAATAACTGCAAGTTTCAGGAAAGAATTGATGGAGACTGAGACTCCTGCAAAGAACCTCGCATGCACAGTGAAGAAGGAAAAGTGAGCTCCCCAATAAATATCGTGATCTTAATGTTTGTTTCTCATGGACATGTGACAAAAAGTCCAGCAACTAAAATAAATGAAATTAGACCTGGATAGAGCAACACAAATAATAAAAACCTAAAAGAGAAAAGTAATTTGCCATAATTTATAGCTGGATAGGAGGAATATGTTCTAGTATTCTATATCACTGCAGGGAGACTACAGTTAACAATAATTATTGTACATTTCCAAATAGCTACAAGAGAGAATTTTGAATGTTTCTAACACAAAGAAATGAGAAATGTTTCAAGTGATCATTATGCTAATTACCCTGATTTGATGATTACACATTGTATTCATGTATCAAAATATCATTCTGTACCCCATAAATAGATACAATTGTTGCATGTCAATTAAAAATAATAAACAAAAAACAAGCTTAAAAAAAAGTCATTTGCGTAAGGAGACATCATAGACATGATAAAGTTTAAATAAATTTTAAAATACCACAGATATTAAAGTTTTAATTGTTTATAAAACATTTTGAGTTTTTAAAAATTACAGTGGGAAAACATTAAAGACCTGTGAATCTATCCATCACTCACTATTAGATTAAAACATAGTGCCGTATTTGTGTTAGATACTGTTAAAGAAATAAAATAATGCATATTTATTTTTTCATATCCTCAATCTTATGAGAATTGTATGTTTTCCCTTCCCCAAGAGAACTACTAAACTGCAATTGGCAGGCATTATTTCCTTGTGCTTTCAATACAGTGAGTATGCGTTTATCTATAAACCATATTCTTGTTTTGCATGTTAAAACTTTCTATACTGTACATAGCATTTTCTAGCTGGTTTTAAAAAGTAAGTTTAAACATTTTTCAGTCTTGGTACATTTTTCTTTTCTTCATTAACTTTAACTACCTTATTTTATTCTAGTGTCTTTTTTTTTTTTTTTTTTTTTGAGACAGAGTCTCACTTTGTTGCCCAGGCTAGAGTGAGTGCCGTGGCGTCAACCTGGCTCACAGCAACCTCAATCTCCGGGGCTCAGCGATCCTCCTGCCTCAGCCTCCCGAGTAGCTGGGACTACAGGCATGTGCCACCATGCCCGGCTAATTTTTTGTATATATATTTTTAGTTGGTCAATTAATTTATTTCTATTTTTGGTAGAGACGGGGTCTCGCTCAGGCTGGTTTCGAACTCCTGACTTTGAGCAATCCGCCCGCCTCGGCCTCCCAAAGTGCTAGGATTACAGGCGTGAGCCACCACGCCCGGCATCTAGTGTCATATTATATCACAATCCTTTCTCCAACTGAGAAGCATTTTTGTCATGCACACATACACACATGTAAATGTGTCATGTATGAAACAATTTAAAACAACATACAAGAGCAATAAAACTAAAAGCTTCTCCCCTGTGAAAGGAAGGAAACAGGAAGTGTGGATTAAATGTATGCATGCTATTTTGTTACTTTAAGGAAAGAACTCTGTAGGCATAATATCAACATTTGCTAATTCTGGAAGCATGGAGACATGCTTAGCTCTTCTATTTGTGCTGATCTGCCTTTTGAAATTTTAAATATTTCATAAATTAATAAAGGAAAAAAAGTAGAATGGAGTGTAGTCTTGGGCTCTAGCTGGTTCCCAACCTCCTCTCTCTCAAAAATAAGGGGTAGTACAAGCCAGATATGGACAAGTAAAAAGAAGCTGGCTGTATATATTTTCTCCTTGCCAAATAAATTGAAGAAAATGTTAAAGAATGCTACAACATCTCTTCAAAATTGAGCAAGAGTCGATTGCTGTTGAGGTTAGAAAAGGTCCCTGGACTTTAGGGTTACAGCAGGAGATTAGCAGAATGAGAGCTGCTTAGGTTTTGGTGCAAATGAAACCATATGAAGAAGATGTTGGACAATTAGGCAGACACCTCACAGATGACCTAGTTTTGTCCATCTGCGGCATGACCTCACCTCACCACTGCCCAAAATGAACCCATTGGCAAAGACGCAACACTATTTGCAGACTATTATAAGTCTCCTATAAACTAGGACACTTTAGATTACCTGGGTGTGAACACCAAGGAATGACATCCGGTTCTTCCCTGAATGTCGAGGGGAGTGGGGGAAGCTCTGCATTCGGGGAGCCCAGGAGGACAGCTCCTGGCTCCTGTGCAGAAATGAGGGTCCCTGGGTCTAGCTCAGGTGCGCCGTATGCTGATGTGGACACGGATGTTGAGCGGGTGGTCATAGGCAGACGATTTGCAGTCTCTGTGGCCCTTGGGACTTCAATATCCAAAGCTCCTCATTAGTCAAACTCTTTGACTCTCGTGTGATTACAGGGCCGTACGAATCCTTAAGGAGCGAGCTTGGGAGATGCAGAAGTTTGCTTCGGCTGAAGCTCTCACACTAAGAGGCCAAGTGGGTGTTATCTTCTTCCCTGAAAGATCCTTGGCTTACACCCAATTTCAAGTACTTTGCACATCTCAGCACACCTTCCTTGCGTCATTGTATTCTACTCTTTCTTTTTGGTATATTTAAAGGCAGCCCTATCCTAACAATAATATCAGGAAGACTGACACCACATTTAAGCTCATAATTATGTTTATTTAAATATAAGTGCATATATATATACACACACATATATATATAACCTATATAAATACACATAACAATATAATGAATGTATGTTAAAAATGCAAACACTAAGGGCTAATTCTATGGGTTGCTTGTGAGACGTTAATTATGCTTGCGTATATTATATTCAACAGTTACTAATATATTGTGTAACCAAATGCAAAATGGCATTTTTGTTGCTGTTGTTAACAGCTTTATTGAGGTCTGATATACAATAAGTTGCATATATTTAAACCGTACGATTTTATACATTTTGACACCTCTCTCTCTCTCAGAAATCGTCAAATTCATAATGGGCATATCATCACCTGCAAAAAATTTTTTGTCTCTTTGTAGAACTCTTTTTTGCCTATGTTCTTTCATTGAGCATACTTGTTTTGAGAGTCATCCATTTTGTTTTACCAATAAGTTTATTGGTTTTTATTATTGGGTAGTATTCCATTGTTTGGCTGTTCTACAGTGTGTACAACCATTCACCTATTGATAGATAATTTTCAGTTTTGGACTACTGTGAATAAAATGGCTATGAACATTTGTGAAAAAATCTTTTGTATAGACATACACATTCTCATTTCTCTTGGGTGAATGCTGAGGAGTGAAATGGTTGGATCATAAGGTCAGTGTAAGATTAACTGATTCAGAAATGGCCAAGGTGTTTTCTAACACGGTTGTGGGATCAAATATCCTCACCAGCACTGCATGAGAATTCTGTTTTCTCCATGTCCTTGATAACATTTGGTGTCGTCAGTCTTTTTAATTATAGCCTGTCTAAAAGTGCACAGTCATATTCATTGTGGTTTTAATTTGCTTTTCCCTAAGGACTCATGGGGTTCAGCATATTTTCATGTGCTTATTTGCCATGTATGTCTTCTTTGGTGAAGTATCTGTTCAAATATTTGCCAATTTCTTGTGTGATTTTTATTATTGACTTTTAAAATCCTTTATTTAGTCTGTTATCAACAGTAGTGTCACTAAAGTTGGCATGCAACCCCTTACTGCTAAATTTGGAATTATGCATATGCTAATGACCTTGATCATATCACCATACTTTATAGGTATCAAAACATCACTATATACCCCATAAATATATACAATTATTGTGAGTCAATTAAAACAATAGGCTGAAGTGGGAAGATCATTTTAAACCAGGAGTTCAAGGTCAGTCTGGGCAGCAAAAAAAAAAAAAAAATAGGTATTACGAGTAAAGATGAAAAATATTACATTTCAGCTAAAAACATATTTATTAATATATGAGTATATATATATGTATTACCAGTACAAATAATACCAGTGGTAATTTAGTGAATGCACCATAAATATGCAAACTCTATGGTCTAATTCTATATATGGCTCTGTGAAAGTTAACCTTGATTTTCCACATTGTGTTTAGCAGTTTCTAATATAGTCCCTGTAACTGATATGAACCAAGCCTGCAACAGGTATCTTACTCTCTTTTCAGAATTTCACTACCAACTTTCCCCAATATCATAGTGGTCATTTCAATATACATTTATGTAACATTACACATTAGAGATTAAAATTATGATTCTTGGTCATCAATATTGTTGCAGTACATTGCAAATTATCAGAACAAATATAATGCCTGCTACAACAATTAAGGCATTTGATAATAGTGAATGCATAGACACAACAAACCTACTCTTCAGAAAAAAAAAAAGTCCAGCACACAAACATGAACAGTTTCTTTATTACTGAATTGGCATTACATTAAATGGATAGATTATTTAATAAATGATGCTAGGACATGAAAAGGAATTTGGATTTGCTGTCTCATATCTGGAGTAAAAATAAATTTCAGGGGGTGCCATGCCACAAATGCAAAAGACAAAACTATAAATCCTTTAGATTGGAGTAAGTAGGGCATTTGTTATAAAGATCTATTATTGAGCGCAAACCATTAGAGAAAATATTGACAGATTAAATCATATGGAAATGAAGCCCTCTGTGCATCCACCAAACAGTATAAAGTACATGCAAAATGGGCCAATAAATTTCCAATGCATATAAATCATAAAGGAATGATATTCCAATTAAATAAAGAACTCTTAGGGGAAGGGCACGATTGTAGCCCTGGCTCGGGCTAGGCGAAGGCATTATATGTAACCAAAATATTGGTACCCCTATACAATTCTGAAATAAAAATAAATAAAGAAAGAACTTTTATGAATTAATAAGAAAAGACACACAGTTCAATGGAAATATCATAAACAAATATTGTACTAAAGGCAAAGCAATAAATGGCTCATGATATGTGAAAATATGCTCAACCTCGTAATAAGAGGAATATAAGTTAACTAAACAATATTTTTATATTCACTAAATTGTCAGAGTAAACGCCAATGTTTTACAATGATGCAGATCATCAGGACCAACTACTGGGAAAGTAAATTGGTTTGACCACTTAGAAAAACTCTTTGGAACTGCCCAAAGGAGGGAGTCTACCCTGTATAACCAATAAAATCACCCCAAGTATCAAAGCTTCATTTATTCCTTGGAGATATAAAAGTAAATATCCAAGCAGCTTTAATCACTAGGATTATAGGCGTGAATCACCACGCCCAGACAGAGGAATGAGACTTGAATTTCCTAAGTCCTTTACCTTTAGCAACTTAGTGCTGGCTTATGCCCTCACCCTGAAATACCAGGTACCTGCTGTCCACTTTTCTCACCTCTTTGTATACACAGCCATCACATGCCTTCACCTATGGACACAGCTTCCTTCCGTACTAGACCCTACACCTCTTTTTCTAAAGCCACCCTATCCTAGCAAGCAATAGCACTAAGACTTACACTGCATTTCAGCTTAAAATTAATTTATAAGTGCATGTATATATATATATATATATGTACATATATACATATGTATGTATATATATTCCTGCACGAATAAAAGTGATAATATAGTGAATATAGCATAAAAAATGGATGTTCGCACTCGTAACTAAAAGAAGTTTGGGGTTTGTTATCACAACCCACTTAGTTTTTGCTGACTGGTGCACTACAATTATTAAGACGTGTGATATTAGTGCAGGGATAGATTCCACAGCACTCCTGCTCAGAAAAGAGAGTCCGGAAAAATATCAACACGTAAGCAGCTTATTTATTGTTGAATGGGCATTACAGCGAATGCATGAAGTGTTTAATAAGAGGGACCAGGCCATCAAATGAATTTACATTCCTGTCTCACATCAAAGGTAAAAACAAAACAAATTCCAATGGGTGCAGGCCTCAAACGTAAAAGGCAAAACGATAGAACCTGTATTTTCATTTTTAAATTTTATTTATTTATTTATTTATTTATGCCACTTTATTGGGGTGGGAGCAGGGAGAGGGTGTGGCATCCCAAGGAAAGAGAAGGGAGATGTCAGCAGCGAGGCCAGGTGGGTGACTTGCTGCTTTCATAGGGAGGAAAAGAAAAATGGTTAATTGTTGTGAACTGCTCCATCCAACTCCTTCTCTTCTTCTTAACTGCAAGGAGGTAACGGAATCGGCTGTGTGGAAACCCTGTGTCGTGTTCCCTTTGCTTTAGGAATACAGGGACCTTGCCCTCCAGATATGATTTAGATGGGTTGGATGTCTGGACATTGCCCCCCATGCCTTCATCCAGGAATTTCTCAGGAACTACTCCAGGCTCTGGAAACAGACTCTAAAAGGCAGTTTTAGTCAATGGGTCAAACAACTGTAGACAATTTAAGCTTCCTTTTTTTGTCTTCTGGGCTCCTTTGAGATGTTCAGAGCTCAGCAGGGCACCTGTTAGCTAGGTGGCCAGGGAGGGAGAGAGCACAGAGACAGCAGAGAAGGAGCAGAGAGCTGATTTATTTCCACCCAGGAGACCTACAGTCCTTTCAGGGACCACCTAGGTAATCCAGGACTGCTCGGCAAAGACTCTTTTCCCAAAGAAGTAACATTCACACTTTTGTCATATAATATTCACAAGTGAATGCATCAGGATGTGGATATATAGTGTCGGGGGCCGACATTCAACTCATCACACAGGTGTCTTCTGGGCGACTCTCTAGCAAAAACTATTATCAACTGACCCAGGGAAGGGCACTCAGTTTTTGGTCTCCGGGAGTCACCTCTGGAAATGACACTTGCATCTGCCGCAAGCACCTGGTGACCCAGAAGAAAACCAGTAGCATGGGGACACCACCGCATGGGGACTGAACAAAGCCTGAACAGTGCAGCCTATTCCTGAGCATTTCCTACACCTTTGAAGACCTTGTAACGAAAGGTGACTGTCTTTATTGTTCAGTTATATGAGCCTGAAGCTTCCTTGGGAGTTACAGTAAGATGAGTTAAAACAAAACAACAAAAAAAGAGGTAGGGTTCTTTTTTTAAAAAATTGGAATCTTAAAATGGATGAATTTTCAAACCAATGAAATTCAAACATCTTACAATCATCTCAAACCACTGGGATAATCCAATCGTGCTAGTTTTTAGATGATAAAACGGAGTATGGCAGATGCTAATGTTGTCTCAGAAAATATATTGTTCCAGCGATTGGCCCCAATAATCGCTAAATTGGGCATAAAATCTCAGCTCCATGCTTCCACCGCCAACCTACAGCTGGGGTGCAACTGACATGACCCTAATCATGCGAATACGTGGAAGCTCGTCACAACAACAGGCTCACTTAGATCTTTTTCCTGAGCTATCCCCCCTCTGCAACTTTTCTTTGTCTGAGACTGACATATATATATAATCAATCAGGCTCAGACTCTGATTCTATAATCCCAGGAAAGAAATTAAGTCTAGAGAACTGAAATCATTTGTCAATCATCACAGATCTAGATGTTAGGTTGATAGTGAGGGATTCTACGTCTCCTAGGTCCAAAAGTGGGCGCTGTTGCCTCCATCTCGGTCCTGCCCAGCCCTGATTCTCCATACCTGGGGGCGGAGGGAATATCCTATGGATCGGCCAATCAGAACTTGTCACGCCAGCTGCAAAGGAATGCAGAGGACAGGGTAGTGCATGGGCCAAGCCGCATGGGTACCATAAGTTTGGAAAGTGACTTACAACCCACATGTGTAGTGAAGGCTCAGGTCATGCGACTCCCAACTGTCCAATCAAAGTGGCTCCATAGTGACCTCTGAACCACGAGGGAGGTCCCTATCCAGGCATTATAAAACAAGACACAGACTGTAACCAATCTATGCCCTTCCAGTAGCCTGCCCAGCTGTGACAATAGGTCCGGTCCTCATCCATGGAGTATGTACCATACTCTGTAAACCTGTATCTTGCTCTTGCCCTATCCTGTCTTTCTCTCCTAAATAACCCTCATTTTCATGCTTGCCTAACTGTGGCAAGTCTGGTCATTCTGAAGCCACGGGCACGCCAAGAACCGACAGTTCCAGACTAAAACCTGACCCAGACAAAAAGGCAAAGTCCGATTTCCAGCCAACATAGAAAGATACTTAGTCTTTATGCCATCCTGACATTGTAGAAGAACTTGGTGATGGGAGAATCGGACATTCTGGATCACCGGGTGTTCTGTCACTTTGACTTGTTCTAGAAACCCAAGTCCAAAGCCAATGTCACATCACAGAAGAGAAGGCATCCTCCCCATGAGTTTCCTCAAGGTTCCCTTCATGTCTTCGTTCCTCAGACTGTAGATAAAGGGGTTTGCCACTTGAGGGACCACAGAATACATGACTGAAGCCACTGCCGTCTTCCTGGGTGAGTCGGTGACTGCAGAACTGACGTACACCCCGAAACTTGTCCCGTAGAACAAGAACACCACAGAGAGGTGAGACCCACAGGTGGAGAAAGCTTTGTACTTTCCACCTGCTGATGCCATTCTCAAAACCGAAGAGACTATTTGAGTATAAGAGAAAATGATCCCAGACAGAGGCACGCCTCCGAATACACAAAATACAAAATATATCAGGACGTTGTTGATGAGGGTATCAGAACAGGCGAGCTTGAGCACCTGGGCAAGTTCACAGAAGAAGAGGGGTATCTCCAGGTCTGAGCAGAAGGACAGCGGCAAGACCGTGACACTGAGCAGCAGGGCATTCGCCACACTGAGACACAGAGAGAGTAGAAGCATCAGGCCACATAGGCGGGCGTTCATGATGACCGTGTACCTTAGCGGGTGACAAATGGCCACATAGCGGTCATAGGCCATTGCTCCCAGGAGGCAGTTTTCCAAGCCAGCAAAAAGCAAGACGAAGCAGACCTGGGTGATGCAGCCCACGTAAGTGATGCTCTGATCCCGAGCTTGGATGTTCGCCAGCATCTTTGGGATGGTGGTTGTGCTTAACCCGATGTCAGTCAAGGACAGGTTGGAGAGGAAGAAGTACATGGGGGTGTGCAGGTGGGCGTCGGAGCCGACGGCCAGGATGATGAGCAGGTTCCCCAGCACCGTGACCAGGTACGTGCACAGGAACAGGCTGAAGAAAAGGGGTTGCAGTTCTGTGTCCTCTGTCAGGCCCAGGAGGAAGAATTCTGAAGCAGCTGTTCGGTTTCTGGGTTCCATGTTACCGAAGAATCTGACGGAAAAGATGCAGCGAAACACAAGGAAATGCATGAGCCAGCAGCAGCCCTTGGAAACGTGCTGGAAATGCAAATTTTTGGTTCCTAACTCCAGACTCCTTGCAGATACACAGGGGGGATGGGAACCATCGGTCTGTGCTTTTGCAAGCTCTCTACATGGTTGTTGTTGTTGTTGTTTTTTAATGCATTCTGCTGTTTCCTCCATTTCCTTTGTTGAAACAAGATTTTATTAAACTCAAAGTCTGTTTCATGCATTGTTCTAAGTGCTGAGGATGAAACAAAGTCTAGGACATGACTTGTCAATCAGAGTTACCCTAGGCCCTGAAACAAACATGAAGCTGAGAATGCAGTTATGAGATCTGTCTTCTCGAGCAACAGTTCCCAAACTTTGAAATGCCTCAGAACCATTCGCAAGGCCTTGTCACGTGACAGGTGTGTAAGTTCATACCATCACCCCTACCCTTTACCCTTTATCACTTAGGTAAGGTGAGGTTACATCATGGATGTGAAATACACAGATTGCAGACACGGGTTTGAGCTCCAGTCATTGAACTACTCTTGATCCATCATTGACCAATCATTGTTAATGTCTCTCTGAAGAGTACAGAATTAGTATTTCTGAATGATCGCTCAGATCTCATAATTTACTCTGATGATTTCAATATTTTCTTCCTGAACAAGGCCCTAAGTCTTTCCCTTGCCTTGAAGGTATGTCCACTTATCTACCCATGAACTTAGTTGCGGCAGGTCGATGGTATCTATCCAGGTGGACCTGAGCAAAGATTAGAACATGTGGCCTTTAAGCTTCAAGTTCATAAGACTGTTTTATGGAAATTCAAGTCATCTCCTTTAGCAATTAATTTTTAAAATTTTTTTTGGAGAAAGGTTTCCCTTTTTCACCCAGGCTAGAGTGCAGTGGTGAGATCACAGCTCTCTGCAGCCTTGAACCCCCGGGCTCAAACGATCCTCCTGCCTCAGCCTCCCAGGTAGCTGAGACTACAAGTGTACACCAACACAGCCAACTTATTTTTTTTTTATTTTTATTTTTTGTAGAGTCAGGGTCTCACTATGTTGCCCAGGCTGGCCTCAAGTGCCTGGCCTCGAGCGAGCCTCCTGCCTCCACTTCCCGAAGTGCTAGGATTACAGGTGTGAACCACTGCACCTGACCTTTTAGCAATTAATTCTAAGAGAAGATGGGTAACTGTATCTAGGAGAGTCTCTGTTTCATCCCAAGGGTTGTCTTCCTTTAGGGTGATGGGTGCTATACCCTCTTTTTAGAAAGCAGTTAAGTGAGAGAAAGAATGGACTACATTGACTCCTAAGAAGGCACATGAAAATAAAAACAATTTATTGGTCTTCGGAAGATAGAGATTGATAATGTAGACTTACAAGTTACTTATGAGATAATCAGGCATCCAACAAGGACTGTTTCTGCAGAGCAATGGTCTCCCTCCCCAGGGGGAGACAGAAGTAGCTCTGACTGCCTTTATCGTCTGGTGTAATATTAGACTCACACACTCTGAATTTAATCTAAGATCCAGCACTTTCTTTGTGAGTGAGAAAAAAAAATCAACCGTATGAGAAGCCTGGGTGTCCTATTCGTATAAAGAAAACCTCAGGATGGATGTATTCATTAGTCTGATTGTGATAATCGTTTTACAATGTGCACATATATCCAACCATCACATTGTCTGCCTTAAATATAGACTTTTTATTCATCAATTATACTTATAATGAAGGTAGAAAAAAAGCCGTCGGAGACATTTTTTGATGAGAAATGAATAAAACCACAGCAACCATCACAGTGCTTGGCACATTGGACCTGCATCCTGACATTTCCTTTTGTGTCTTTTTATTTTTCTACATGAATAATTGCAGGTGACACTTTGCACTCCTGAGAAGGAAGTGATACCTTGGGTCAGTTGAGGAAAGAGACAATATTCCTAACAGGATGAATGCAAATATCAGGGGTGAGCTTATTTACTAAAACTCCTTCTGGGAATCTCGATTATGTAGAAAAATAAGGAAAGAAACGTCAATGATACCGATGTTCATCTGAGCCTGGAATCCCAGCACTTTGGGAGGCTGAGGGAGGGAGATGGCTTGAGGCCAGGAGTTCAAGACCAGCCTGGACAATATAGTAAGACCCCATCTCTACCAAAAACTAAAATTAAAAAACTGTCTGGGTGTGGTGGTGTGTGCCTGTAGTCCCAGCTGCTTGGAAGGCTAAGGTGGGAGGATCACTTGAGCCCAGGAGTTCAAGGCTACAGTGAGCTATGATCGTACCACTGCACTCCGCCTGGGTGACAGAGTGAGACTCTGTCTCTTAAAAAAGAAAAAGACAAAAGAAAAGGAAAGAAAAAGAAAAAAGATAAGCAGGAGGCTCAGGGGACACTTGTTTCTAATCATCCTATGCATGTTCTCTCATCACTGCTGCCCCAGAATGAAATTCTAGTAAAACACCTGCCCTCATATCCAAAGGATTGGCAAAAGGACTTTAGGTTAGCTAGGTGGCTTCAGGAGGAATGATGGTCAACATCTCACCTGGATGTTGAAGATGGACGATCTAGCCTTGGGAACTTCAGACAGACTTAATGAGTCAAGGAGGTGGTCCTGGTCATGAAGGATGATCTCTGGAAGGCAGCTCGGGTGTGGCTCCCCGACTAGACAGGTGCAGTTAAGGGAGGTGGCCACAGGCTCTCTCATGCAGTCTCTATACCCCTGAGGGCTCAATATCCAAAGCTCCTCATTACAGCAGCTATTTTACCATCATTCTGATCCCCAGAGTGCCTATCCTCAAAGACCAAGACCATGGAAGGGAGGACTCCAGGATGGCAGAGACGGGGTGTGCACCATCCAATTCTTTTCATTGCTACCGCTCATGGGTCTTGCACACCTACTATTCCCCTAATAAATGCCAGTGTCCCTTTTAGTCACACACAAAGCCATCTCTATCTGATGATATCAGGATGCCTGGTTCCTATTTCAGGTCTGAAAAAATATATATTTGTGAGGATGTTTGTGAGTCCAAATAACATACAGTTGACCAACACCAAACAACACCAGTTTGCACGGTGTGGGTCCACTTCTATGTGAATTTTTTTTTTTTTTTTTTTGAGACAGAGTCTCGCTTTGTTGTCCAGGCTAGTGTGAGTGCCGTGGCGTCAGCCTCGCTCACAGCAACCTCAAACTCCTGGGCTCAAGGGATCCTCCTGCCTCAGCCTCCCAAGTAGCTGGGACTACAGGCATGCGCCACCATGCCCGGCTAGTTTTTTCTATATATATTAGTTGGCCAATTAAATTCTTTCTATTTATAGTAGAGACGGGGTCTCGCTCTTGCTCAGGCTGGTCTCGAACTCCTGACCTCGAGCGATCCGCCCGCCTCGGCCTCCCAGAGTGCTAGGATTACAGGCGTGAGCCACCGCGCCCGGCCGAATTTTTTTTTTTTAATAAAAGTCATGCTGAGTGTGCCTGTCTTTCCCGCCCCCCTCCCACCTCCTCCCCCTCTGCCACCCCTGAGTCAGCAAGAGCAACCCTCCTCTTCCTCCTCCTCCTCCTCCTCCTCAGCCTCCACAGTGTGAAGATGATGAGATGAAGACCTTTACAATGATCCACTTCCACTTAATGAAATATATTTTCATTAAGAGCAAATATATTTTTGCTTCCTTATGATTTTCCTAATAACGTTTTCTCTAGCTTACTCTATTGTATGAATATGGTATATAGTACATACAACGTACAAGATATGTGTTTCATTGGAAGAATGAGTAGAAAAAAAAATGTGTTAATTGACTTTTGATGTTATTGGTAAGGCTTCCAGTCAACAGTAGGCTATTAGTAGTTAAGTTTTGGGGGAGCCAAAAGTTACATACAGATCTTCAACTGTGCAGGGGATTGGAACCCCTAACCCTTGCATTGTCTAACTGTGATTATAAACATTAGCTAAGATATTGTAAGAATGCAAACATTTAGGGTGTCTCTTCTTAAGAGTCATTGAATGTTTGCTGAACTGTAATTTTTGTTCTTTATGTTTTATGGGGTAAAACATAATATATTCTCTAATATACTGACTGCCAAAAATATAGATAGGACCATTATTCCCTGTGTAGAGTTTAATAAATACCTTTTCTAGGTTTTGTCACAATAGTTTAATATACATTTTTCTTCACGTTAGGAGGTTTGAGTTGAAATTATGCTTCCTTATTTTTAATTAGAGTATAAGTCAACTACAAAATCGTTGAAAGGCAGTAGTATACAAATATGTTCATACTCTCAGTATATTTGGATAGATTTATGTTTGTTTATATTTAAAAATATTAAGGGGATACAAATGTTTTTGTTACATGGATACCTTGTATGTTGCTTAAATCAGGGCTTTTGGTGTGCCTGTCGTCAGAATAGCGTTCATTGTACCCAATAGGTAAGTTCTTATCTCTCACCCTTCCCCTTTCTTGGTTTCCAATATCTTTCATATCTCTCTGTGCCCATGTGTTTAGCTCCTACTTATTAGTGAGAACATATGCTGTTTGGTTTTCCACTCCTAAGATATTTCTCTTAGGATAATGGTCTCCAGATACTTCCGAGTTGCTGCCAATGACATTATATCATTCCTTTTTTATGGCTGAGTAGTACTCCATGGTGTATATATATCACATTTTCCTTATCCACTCAGGAATTGATGGGCACTTAGGTTCAATCACATCTTTGTGATTGTGAATTGTGCTGTGGATAAACATTCAAGTACAGGTGTCTTTTTCATAAAACGGACTTCTTTTCCTTTACATAGATACCCACTAGTAGGGTTGCTGGATTGAACAGCAAGCCTGCATTTCTTTCTTCAAGGAACCTCCATACTGTTTTCCACAGAGTTTGCACTAATTTGCAATCCCACCAACAGTGCATAAGCATTCCTTTCTCTCTGCATCCAGGCCAGCATCTATTGTTTTCTGATTTTTTAATAGTGGCCATTCTGACAGGGGTGAG